ATCACTTATCTCTCGAATTCTCCCCTCGTGGTCCAGTAGCTGTTTGTCCCTCTTTTGCTCAGCTTCTTTATTCTCTGTCATTTGGTCTTCTGTATCGCTAATTCTTTCTTCTGCCTCATTTATCCTAGCAGTGAGAGCCTCCATTTTTGATTGCACCTCATTAATAGCTTTTTTTATTTCAACTTGGTTAGATTTTAGTTCTTTTATTTCTCCAGAAAGGGCTTTTATATCTCCCGAGAGCATTTCTCTAATATCTTCCATATCTTTTTCGAGCCTGGCTAGAACCTTGAGAATCGTCATTCTGAACTCTAGATCTGACATATTACCAATGTCTGTATTGATTAGGTCCCTAGCCTTTGGTACTGCCTCTTGTTCTTTTTTTTGTGGTGAATTTTTCCCCCTTGTCATTTTGTCCAGATAAGAGTATATGAAGGAGCAAATAAAATACTAAAAGGGTGGCAAAGACCCCAGGAAAATAGGCTTTCACCAAATCAGAAGAGATCCCAAGTCATGGGGGGGGGGGGGGGAGAAAGGGGATAAAAAGAGGCTTAGAAAAAAAAAGAAACAATTTAAAAAGAAAACGAATAAAGAAAAAATATAAAAAAGAAAAAATATATATATATTAGATAAACTAGTTAAAAAACTTTAAAAAAGAAAAGGGTAAAAGTTAAAAAAAATTAGCAGAAAAAAGAAGAAAAAAATAGAAAAAAATTAAATTAACTGCAAGACTAAAGAATCATGGGAGAAAGCCATGAGTTCCATGGTTTGCTTTCTCCTCCTCTGGAATTCTGCTGCTCTCCTTGGTATTGAACCTGCACTCCTTGGTAGGTGAACTTGGTCCTGGCTGGATTTCTTGTTGATCTTCTGGGGGAGGGGCCTGTTGTAGTGATTCTCAAGTGTCTTTGCCCCAGGCAGAATTGCACCGCCCTTACCGGGGCCGGGCAGAGTAATCAGCTCCGGTTTGCTTTCAGGAGCTTTTGTTCCCTGAATGCTTTCTGTAGAGTTCCGGAGGATGGGAATGAAAATGGCAGCCTCCCAGTCTCTGGCCTGGAGGAGCCAAGAGCTCAGGGCCCCACTCCTCAGTGCGCCCTCAGAGAATAGCGCCCAATTACTCCCGTCTCCCTGGCCTCTGGCCACGCTCCGAGCTCACCGAGCCTGTGACAGGTTCAAGGTAACCCTGAGCTGAGAGCTCACTCCTCGGCTCTGTCTCTGTAGCCCGCTTCCCCATTCTAATACCTGCAAGCTCTGCGACACTCAGACACCCCCGGTCCTTCTGTGACCCTGCGGGACCTGAGACCACGCTGACCCCACGTGGGCTTCACCCCGGTTTAGCCTCTGGAGCAATATCCCTCAGCAGAACAGACTTTTAAAAGTCCTGATTTAGTGCTCTGTTGCTCTGCCACTTGCCGGGAGCTGGCCTCTCCCCCTGCAGTCTATCTTCCCGTTGCTTTGCATTCACTTCTCTGCCAGTCCTACCATTCAGAAAGTGGTTGATTTTCTGTTTCTAGAATTGCTGTTCTTCTTTTCTTTGATCTCCCATTGGATTTGTAGGTATTTGCAATCTTTAGATAAGCTATTTAGCTGATCTCCTGCTACCTGATGTAGTCTCAGCCTGCTACTTCTCCGCCATCTTGACTCCTCCCTCGACATTGTGTTTCATAGGCAATACTTTTTTTTCCTTCAAGATTTTATTTAAATTAAAGTTAGTTTACATATAGTGTAGTGTTAGTTTCAGGGATAGAATTTAGTGATTCATCAGTAACATATGACACCCAGTGCTTATTACGTCAAGTGTCTCAACCTTGTAACATTCCCAGCTTTTGTGTGTGTTGATCTGCTCAAGTGTATTTTGGGTAACCACCACCATATTCAGGATACAGAGCAATTCCATGGCTGCAGATCTTATCCTTGTGCTATCCTCTTAGTGACAGCCAGCCCACCATCCTAACCTCTGGCCCATGCCGATCTGTTCTCTATAACTTTGAGAATGTTGTGGAAGTGGAGTCCCACAGTATGGACATTTTGAGAGTGATTTTTTTTCATTCCACATAATGCCTTTGGAATCTCACAAGTTGTGCACATGTATATAAGTTATTCCTTTTTATTGCTATATAGTATTTCCTGATAGGAATGCACCACAATTTGTTCAACCATTCACTTATCATTGGGCATTTTGCATGATTCCAATTTTTTCCATTATGAAAAAAGCTGCTCTAAACTTTTATACAGAGACTGTGAAAGCTATGGTCTTCATTTTGCTCAGATAAATGCCTGGGAGAGTGATCTCTGGGACATAAAACCCACTTCCTCTCCAGAAAGAGGAAGAATGATGCTTATTGTTGGAACCAAGCACACACAACTTCTTTTTTAAAAAAGATTTTATTTCTTTTTAAAGTAATCTCTACACAAAACTTGGGACCCAAACTCACAACCCCATGACCAAGAGTTGCTCGCTTCACCAACTGAGTCAACCACATAACCCAAGCAAATACAACTTCTTAAGTCCACACTGCACTGTGTATTTGGGCTAAGTTTACTATTCCATCAATAAAGGGTTGGAATAGGGAGTCATTTCTGGAGCTGACCTCATTTGACCCCAAAATCTCTTGGGTCCTGATGAACCCATTTCTTCCTCCAGCTCAGTAGCTCTTAGTGGAAGCTGGTGCAGAAAGAGGCCACAAGCCAAACACCCACAGATGTCCAGAGCTCAGGAGATGGGACACAGGCCCCAACTGCAGATCCTTGTTGGCCTGTGGCTCCCAAGTGGAGAATCACGATGAAGACCTCAAGATGGGGGGAGGGGCCCAGTACAGAAAGCAGAGGCTCCAGGCAGGCAGGAAGCATCATTTCTGCTGGGCCTGTCCACTCTCTCTGAAACATAAAAAGAATTTCTTCCAAATTTTTTTTTTTTGTGATTAAATTCCAGTTTCAAAGCACTGTGATCTGGGAAATTGCAGGGAATAATCTCAGTCTCTTGGTATTGGTTGAGACCTAATTTGTGACCCAGAATCTGGTCTATCCTGGAGAAAGTTCCATGTGCACTTGAGAAGAATGAGTATTCTGTTGTTTTAGGGTGGAATGTTCTGTATGTATCTATGAAGTCCATCTAGTTCAGTGTGTCATTCAAAACTCTTGTTTCTTTGCTGACTTTCTGCTTAGGTGGACCTATTGCTGAGAGTGGAGTGTTGAGGTCTCCTATTATTAATCTTTTATTATCAATATGTCTTTTTATTTTGGTTAACAGTTGCCTTTTATAGTTGATTGCTCCCATGTTGAAAGCATAGATATTTACAATCGTTAGATCCCTTTGTTGGATAGACCCTTTAAGAATGATATAGTGTCCTTCTGTCTCTCTAACTACCGTCTTTAACTTAAAATCTAATGGATGAAACCTCCATGTGAGACAGGAATCCGTCAAAATCCTAGAGGAGAGCATAGGCAGTAACCTCTTCAACATCAGCCACAGCAACTTCTTTTAAGACATGTCTCTAAAGGCAAGGGAAACAAGCAAAAATAAACTTCTAGGACGTCATCAAGATAAAAAGTTTCTGCACAGCAAAGGAAACGGTGAACAACATCAAAAAAAAAAAAAAAAAGAAAGAAAGAAATAAAAGAAAGAGACAACCCATGGAATGGGAGAAGATATTTGGCAATCACACTACAGATAAAGGGCTGGTATCCAAGATCTCTAAAGAAATTCTCAAACTCAATCCTCAATGAACAAATCATCATATCAAAAAATGAGCAGAAGACATGAACAGACACTCTCCAAAGAAGACATACAAATGGGTAACAAACATGAAAAAATGTTCATCATCATTAGCCATCAGGGAGGTTCAAATCAAAACCATATTGAGACACCAGCTTACAACAGTTGGAATGGCAAAAACTGACAAGACAAGAAACAACAAATGCTGGAGTGGTTGTGGAAAAAGGGAAACCCTCTTAACTGTTGGTGGAATACAAGTTGGTATAGCCACTGTGGAAGACAGTGTGGAGGTTCCTCAAAATTTAGAAAATAGAGCTACCCTACAGCCCAGCAATTGCTCTACTGGGCATTTAGTTCAAAGATACAAAAGTAGTGAAAAGAAGGGCCACATGCACCCCAATGTTCATAGCAGCAATGTTCACAATAGCCAAACTTGAATGAGCTGAGATGCCCTTCAACAGATGAATGTTTAAGGAAGATATGGTTCATATGTACAATGGACTAATACTCAACCATCAGAAGGGATGAATACCCAATTTCTGTATCAACATGGACAGGACTGGAGGAGATTATGCTTAATGAAATAAGTCAGAAAAAGTCAACTATCATATGGTTTCCCTTATTTGTGGAACATAAGGAATAGCATGGAAGTCATTAGGAAAAGGAAGGGAGGGTGCCTGGGTGGCTCAGTGGGTTAAAGCCTCTGCCTTCAGCTCAGGTCATGATCCCAGGGCCCTGGGATCAAGTCCCGCATCAGGCTTTCTGCTCAGCAGGGAGTCTGCTTCCTCCTCTCTCTCTGCCTGCCTCTCTGCCTATTTGTGATCTCTGTCTGTCAAATAAATAAATAAAATCTTTAAAAAAAAGGAGAAGGAAGGGAAAAATAAAGGTGGGGGTAATCAGAGCAGGAAACCAACAAGGAGAGACTATAGACTCCGGGAAACAAACAGAGGGTTTTAGAGGGGAGGGTAGTGAGGGGAAGAGTGAGCCCAGTGATGGGTATTAAGGAGGGCACAGATTGCATGGGACACTGGGTGGTATACACAAATGATGAATCATGGAACACTACATCAAAAACTAATGATGTACTGTATGGTGACTAACATAACATGATAATAATTTTCAAAAAAAACACACAAACCACCCCCCCAAAACATAAGAAGAGGTCCCTCTCACCATGTGAGGTGTCTCTGCCTGACCTCTGTTTCACAATCCAGAAGCAAATTGCTGCCTCACAGCTGTGTGACTGCATTATAGATGCTTCCTTCCTCTTCCATCACAAGAGGGGCGGGCTGTTCCTCCCCACAGAACAGAGGCCCCATCGCCCCAGCACACACATTTGCAGAGAGCAGGATCCTCAGGCCTCCACCATGTGGGACCCTGCCTCCAGACCCTGCCCTTCTCCTCACCTGCTGCTGGCTCTGCTGTTGGGACTCACAGGTGAGCATTGCCTTGAGGGAGACTCCCTTTTCCCTGCCTCCTCAATCACTCTCATCCCTGGGCCTTTAGGGCCTCCACGTAAAGACAGGTGTGCTACCCACACCCCCCACAGAAAGCCAAGGATGGAGTCTCATCTGAGCTTGAAATCAGGGATCTGAGCATTTCCTCTGGGATCCATCACTTCTAGCTGGTTACCACTGGCAACCAAAGAATCAATGCTTCAATGGGTAACAATGACAGCTTTGTGTATGTTCATTGGTCTAATCCTCACAACATCCCTGTCTGATAGCTATAACTGTACTTCTGATTGTAGATATGGAAAATGAGGCAGAGAGAGTAACCAGCCCAGAGTCATCTCTGGAGCAGCTCGGTTTCATGTCCAGCCCACTCAGCTCCACAGTTCATCTTGTTAACCATGTTATGCTGCCTGGTTCCTCAGTGGAGGCCAAGTACAGAAACATCAGAAACACAGAGAGGCAAACAGTAGAAGAGCCATCACGCATCACACGTAAAGGTCTTTAGAGTTCCACTGTGCTGCGTGTACTGACAAACTCTTGTTAATGATATGCTGCGTGTTTCCAAGATGCCAAATTGTTATTGAAGTTTAACATGTACTATAATTTCACTGATTCCTCAAAACAATCTCTATAATAACATGCTGGGCCACACTGTACATGTACAGAGAATGCACTTACCTCTGTGTGTGTGCGTATGTGCATGCATGCATAGGAATGGGCATAGGGAAAGGTACACACACTCATGTGTACACACATATGGGATTTTTGAAAACGCTGCTTTTTCTCCTCATAATGCAGCCAGTCTACGTGAAATGCACATTAGAACGATGTTTGGATCCCTGTCTCTGAGCTACTCACCCTCTTCTTTAATTCTCTAAACCTACTTTTCACCCCTCACCAAGCTCTTAAATTAAAAACAAACTTCTCTCTTGGTAAAATGAGTAGAATCTTGTGCATTACAACCTTGGAAATGCCTGCATGTTGGATTCAAGTGGGTGAAGAAAGAAGGGTCACAAATTCAGAGACTCTTGCCTGTGTGATCTGCGTCTGTAATTATATCCAATTTCATATCCCAATCCCAATTATCTGGTGTCCAAGGATGCCTCTGTGCCTCAGGAAATCTCATGAGTGATAACTTTCCAAATTCCTGAGCACTAACCATGTGCCACACACATACCTGGAAATGCCTATGTCCATTATGTCATGCGATCTTTGTATCCAAGGTAGACATTCTTGTCACCCCTACCTTGCAGATAAGAAAGGAAGGCCCAGAAAGGGCCAAGGTCACTGAGTATAAGTGGGAAGGTAGGATTGGAACCTAGGCAGTCTGATTCCAGATCTCACAGGTATAACCATTGCTCTTTTCAAACCCGATGACCCCACTTCTATCCCATGAGATTTCTGCAGATCTTCCAATCAGTGTGGGGAAGGGGGTGGTGTGGTGAGGAACATTTGTGGTTTGCTTCTTTCAAGTGCTTCTGTATTCTGGGTATATGCAAGTGTTTGGTTCCTCCAAGTCATCTATGTGGGAAACGGCTTCTGATATAATGTCCTGAGAAATTCTCCACTGAAAATAGATTTCATGGTCTCCAAAAGGGGTCACATTGGGCAATTCACATATTATACAAATATTAACTATATACTTACTAGGCGACAAGAACTGTTATATTAACATAGGTCATGTTGATGAATAAAAGACACAAAATAGTTGACCTTTTAGAAGTTGTATCATAGTGGAGGAAAGGACAGGAAACAATAGACGCGATAAATCAGTAAATAACAGAGGTACAGAGAGTAATGAACATTACAGAAAAAACATGACAGTACAGCTGGATACGACAATGGGAGAACTGCTAGGGTGGGATGTATTTAAACAGGTAGCCTGGAGCAAAGATTGTAAGAAAGCGGTGGAATGAGCCATGTGATTTTCTGGGGGAAAACAAATAGCATGGGAACAGCATGAGAGCAGAATCCTCTTGCTCTGTTCAAGGATTCAGGCTTTTTTTTTTTTTTAAAGATTTTATTTATTTATTTGATAGACAGAGATCACAAGTAGGCAGAGAGGCAGGCAGAGAGAGAAGAAGAAGCAGGCTCCCTGCAGAGCAGACAGCCCGACGCGGGGCTCGATCCCAGGACCCTGGGATCATGACCTGAGCCGAAGGCAGAGGCCTTAACCCACTGAGCCACCCAGGCGCCCCAAGGATTCAGGCTTTTATTAAATAAAATGGTAGCTATTGCAAGGTTTGAAGACAGAAGTGACACAATCTGACATGAGTTTCATTCTAGCATTTGGTTGAGAATGGAGTACCACAGGGCTTAGAGAGAAGTAGCTAGAGCCCTCAAGAGCTCAGTGCTTCCATGTGAACAAGGTAAACTGGTTTGTAGCAAGACAGCAGCCAGGAGAGAAAGGGGAAGAGGTCAGCCTATGGGTGCCTGCAGTAGGGGAGTCTTTAGCCATTAACATAGGAATTGAGGTGGGAAAAAAAGGCACCCAAGGGTCGGGACCACAAGCATCCGGGAAAATAAAGGTGCCTCCGCTGAGATGTGCAAGGATATGTGGGAAACTGAGTTCAGTTTAGGACATGTTAGCTGTGAGAGGTTTACTTCTAGCTAAGAAAAAGTTCGAACCGTGTTTGGACATACATAGCATAGCTGAGAGGCAAGTCGTGGGCAAAAACAGAAATAGGAGGAATATAGATACACAAATGGTAGAATTTTCACCTTTCCTTGGCTCCTTATGACCACCTGATCCTCTTCCATCTCCCCTCCCATTTTCCCTCCACGTCTCCCTCCATGGTGCATTCCTGTTTCTTCCCATTTTCCCCCTAGCAGTTCAGCTTCCTGACCCTAGTCTTCTCCAGACCTAGAAACCAAAGTACATGATGTTCTTGGCACACACAGGACGTGCCTGTAATAGCTTGTGCCCTCCTTAGGAGGCATGTTTGGTTGCAAGTACCACTAAGTGCATGGGTTTTACCAGCTCACACTCTGCAAGGGTGAACCACAAATTTCCTTCCTGAGGAGTAGGTAAGAAATGGAAAAGGACACTGGGTGTATGTGTGGTGCACCAGCAGCCTGCTTCTCTGATTTCTGTCCCTGCCTGGTTTTGAGGACGCTTCACATAAGAAGGAAAGGGTTACTGCTTCTCGATGTCTCCAGAGATTAGCTAGTCACCAAGGCAGGAAATCCAGCTGCAAAGTCAAACCTGCTCTGTGCCACATCACTGAGTCTCTGTGTGTCTTTGTTTCCTCCATTGTGATGGGGTCTCCAGTTACAGGCTCGGGGAAGGGTTGCTCCCGGTGTGCACTCAGTCAGGGAGCTGTTGCATAAACACATGAGGAGAAGCGCAGGATCCCGGCAGAATGAATAGACGACTGCTCTGTTTTCCCTCTAGGTGTAGCTGGTGAGGCGAGGCTGCAGGTGATCCAGCCTGACAAGTCAGTGTCTGTCGCAGCTGGACAGACAGCCACTCTGCGCTGCACCATGACCTCCTTGAGCCCCATAGGGCCGACTCAGTGGTTCAGGGGGACAGGGCCAGGACGGGAGTTAATCTTCAGTTTCAAAGGAGGCCACTTCCCCCGAGTAACAAATGCTTCAGACCCCACAAGGAGAAACAACACGGACTTTTCCATCCGCATCAGTAACATCACCCCAGCAGACACAGGAACCTACTACTGTGTGAAGTTCCAGAAAGGGACCCCTGATGATGAGGAGTTTAAGTCTGGACCAGGCACCCAGGTCACTGTGAGTGGTGAGTATGGCCTGGGCCTCCTTGTCCCCTGGTTGTGACAACAAGTCAGTAAGAATGCCCTCCATTGTCTGACCAACAGCTAAGAATCAGGCACTGTGGTGGATGTCCCCAAATTCAGCCACTGCCACAAATCAGGGAAGGAGAGGCCTGGAGAGGTCCTGATGCTTGCTCAAGGCCCCTGATAAATGGTGGGAAAGACTAGAACCCCAGTCTGTGGGTCCATAATTCTCGCCTTTTCCAATTCTGACCAGTCCTCTGGTTCCAGGGATGAGGGACTTACACTCTGAGTGACTTGGCCAGTCACATGACCCAATCTTACTCCTGCCTCCAGAGAGTGTCCCCTCCATGTGGCTGACACTTCTCTAACTCAACACTTACTGAGCACCTGCTGTGTGCAGGCTTTCGTCTGCCTGCAGGGGAAACAGAGAACAAAACAGGCAAGGGCTCCTTTCTCATGAAGCTCACATTCCCTTCCCTTCCTGTGGATAAATGCACCCAGGGCAGGGAGGTGGAATATGTCTCTTTTAACGTAGAAGAATCACAGTGAGAAGAGGTATAAACTCACTGTTTACGCTGAGAGCCCAGGATGGAGAAGATGCCAGAGGCTGGCCATTTGTGACAGTTCTGTGCAGAAAAGCATCATGCAATTCAGGGACTGACTCACAGAAGAGCACTGAGTCTCCCCTCTTGGACATAGGCATGTGGGTGGTTTTATCCTGATTGTGCAGTTGTTACAGGAGTTCCCAGTCGTACCCACCTTGCCTGGGCACCAGAACTAGTAGGTGGCTCCAGCACTGGGCATATCTGTTCCTGCTGGGAGAGCTCTCCTTCCTCTTCCCCTGCTGCCCACACAGGGGATGCTCTGGTTGAGAATGGATGAAGCTGGAGGGACCATCTCAGCCCATTTACAGATGGGGACACTGAGGCTCAACAGATTCGGCCTGAGCAGGGAAGTGAGCCACAGCCTGACTCACAGCCCTGCTCTCTGCCCACTCACTGTGCTGGCCAAAGTGGGAGAAATTGCCCACCCTCTCCTTGAAACTCTTGTAAATCTTGTATGGTTCTCTTTTTCAGCAGTAAACATTAAGAAAACATGGGAAGAGGTGGGCTAGCTTTGCACCCCCAGATCAGACAGGTATGCAAACATCTGGTGAAGTGTTGAGCCTGTTCCTGGAGGACATGGCTTCTCAAGTGTAAGAGCTTCCGGAGTCTTCTCCAGTTGTGTGGTGTTGCTCCTTCACTGAGCAGCCTGGGGCACCAGCCTGGACAGAGCAGAGGGGACCTGCAATCCCAGCAACACCAGGCACCCCATTCCTGGCTCTGCCCACTAAGGATGACTGGGAGGCACATCCTGAACGGTGTTCGGCTCCGTGAGCGAGAATTCACATTCTAGACTCAGCTGTCGGGACCCCACATATTCCCTCTGTTGTTGTCAAGTCAACATGTCTGGACACCCGGAGGGACCCCTCCACATAACCGTTTTCAGTGAGAATGTCAGATGGAAGAGGAGGGTGGCTGTCACTGTCAGGCTGGAGAAGGTGGGACATTTGCTCTGTTGTGGATGAAACAGCTGGAGGCCACAGGAAGTCCCCCTGGGATGCAATGATCAGTAAAGAGCAATCCCGTTGTAACTGGACCAAAGGAGCTTGGCTCCTTGGTGAGGGAGAAACAGAGACCACCCAGGGGAAGTTCCCTGACAAATCTCTTTATTTTACAGGTAAGGGATCACGGAAAAATTTCCAAAGCCATGATGCTGAACAGGGGCAAGTAGGCTCTCCATATTAGGGCTGGAGATGAATATTCAGAGGGGGATTCTAACACTATAATGAGACTGAGGTTACTGTCAACCACTTTCTGATTCATCTGCTCTTTTCTATCTGTGTATTCAGTGATAAATTCCAAGCAAAACTGCTTACATTCCCTTACTCACTCCTCCCTAAAACCCCAGGAAAGAGAAATGCCTCCTGTCCCATGTCATAGAGGAGCCACACTGTGCCACGGCCATGTCTGTGGTCAGCTGGCCAGCCTGGTTCCCACTTTCTTGGGGGTCACCTGTCCCTTGCACAGACTGCTGCACACCCTCTCTGACCTCAGGAGGGTTTGCAGGGAGGCAGCCAGGAACGGTTGATGCCAACAGTCAGACCCATCAGAAACATCCTTCCTGTGCCCAGATTGGTGGGAAGTCACCTGGCAGAGAAGAGAAGGGGTGACTTGAACTCAGTCCTACAACAGCACCTGGGCCCTGCCCCCAACTCAGAGTTCAGCTCTGGAACCTCAGGGCTTTCTCTGTGGGATTAGGAGAGGACACCGCCCTCTGCACACTATCAGAAGGGCAGCAGGTTCTCCACAGTGCCTCACATGTATCCTGAGTGCTGAGGACCACAGTCATGATTACTGTTTACAATGCTCCTCTTGTAGCCAAACCCTCTCCCCCCGTGGTGTCGGGCCCCACGGCCAGGGCCTCTCCAGGGCAGACAGTGAACTTCACCTGCAAGTCCCACGGCTTCTCCCCCAGAAACATCACCCTGAGATGGTTCAGAAATGGGAATGAGCTGGCAGCCTCCCAGACCAGCGTGGACCCAGAGGGAAACAGAACGTCGTACAGCATCTCCAGCACAACCAGGCTGGTGCTGGCCCCGATGGATGTTCGCTCCCAGGTCATCTGTGAGGTGACCCACGTGACCCTGCAGGGGGGCCCTCCTCTTCGTGGGACTGCCAACCTGTCTGAGGTCCTCCGAGGTAGATGCCCCTCCCCACCAGCCCCAGCTCAGGTCCGACCCCCAGGTCTCTGAGCCTGTCCCTCCCCCACTCCCTGCCCCAGGCCCTCCATTCACTGGAGTCTGACCCCTAGCAGACCCTCCAGGTCACCTGCACCTAGATGTGCCATCCCCTCCTACTGTTTCCATGGCTGCTACGGGGTGAACACCTACCATGTACCAAGCACTGTGCTCAGTAGTTTCCCTTACTTTACCGTAGCAATTCCAATTATTGAGCACCTGCTGTACTCCATGCCACCGTGTGCTTGGTGAGGTCATTTGTTTTGCTACAGTTATTCTGTTCCAAATGTATGCATGGGGCTGAGTATCTTGATTTCACTCATTCTTAGCCTATGAGGAGCCATCAAACCTTGAGCACCTACTGTGTGCTGGGCACTGTGCTTAGGGATCTCATTCACATGCAAAGACTCAGTGTTTGTGCACCAGCTGCGTGCCTAACCTGTTATGGGTGGCTCCCTTGCTGTGTGGGGGGACCTAATTTCTCGAGCCCCTCCCCCATGGTCCATCTGTTCCATAATGTGAGAGCTTCTGCCCTGTACTATTTCAGTTCCGCCCACCTTGGAGGTTTCCCAGCAGCCCTTGTCAGGCGACCAGGTGAAGATCACTTGCCAAGTGAAGAAGTTCTACCCCCAGCAACTCCAGCTGACCTGGTTGGAGAATGGCAATGTGTCCCGAACAGAAAAGGCCTCAAGGGCCTCGAACCTCGTAGAGAACAAGGATGGGACCTTTAACTGGACGAGCTGGTTCCTGGTGAACTCATCTGCCCACAGGGAAGATGTGGTGTTCACCTGCCTGGTGCAGCACGACGGGCAGCCCAAGGACACCAGAAACCATACCCTTGTGGCCTCTGCCCACCAGAAGGACCAGGAAACCCATAATACCCAGGGTGAGGCCTCAGTGATCCTGCACAAGGATTCTTGCGTCCTGCTCCCTGCTTCCTCACCTGACAATGATTAAGTCACCATGCCTGTCCAGACACCCCCTTCCCACTGTTATTTCACACCTAGCATGGTCTCTATTGCTTCTACACTTTTCCATCATCACCATGGAAAATGTCTGCACTTGCCACTCTGAAATTTGAGAAGGGACCCTGAAGACCTGGAGTTTTGCGTCTTGACCAGGCTCCTGGGTGACTGTGTGTTTTCACACCTAGGGTCTCTTCTCTCCCTTTATTTGTGACAGCAGACCAGCAATAGTCATGATCGCTCAAAGCACATTCACTTTATGCCAATTCCAATTCATTTCTGGTCTCCTTTCCTGCTTAAGCAACCCCGTAACCTGGAATTTTACAGAAGGGATTCAGGGAGCAACGAGGGACAGAAGGCAAATATTTCCTGCCCTTAGGCCGGCTGAAGAGCTAAGCTATTCCAGGGAAACCTGAGTCCGTGAAGATGGACTAGCAACCTGTAAAAAAAAAAAAAGGATTAAATATAGCAGGGGAGCATTGTCCCAAAAACTACAGAGTCCCCTTTCTACAACTAAAACAATCCTTATTTCTCTCTCATGTAACATCAGGGGGAGGGCAAGCCAGTTTTCCAGGAGTCTTTGTTCCAGAAGATCTTTCAGAGGCCTATGTTCCTTCTAACGTGCCCAATGACATTGTCCTCTTGCCTGGGTCAACACTGGGCCTCCAAGTGTTCATGTCACTGCTGCCCAGGAGACTAGAGATAGGAAGGGGAAAAGGAACAATTTCCCTTAAAACTAGAGGTATGCAGAAGTTGCTTAATTGTGTCCACTAATGACTTAGTCATGGATCCACATCCAGCTCCAAATGGAGTCCACGCTTGTGTGGGTCATGTGACTAATGACATGGTTCTTTCTATAAAACTAATACTATTACACTCTTAGTAAAATTAGCAATAATTCCTAGTATCATCTAAAATGGAGTATATATTCCAATTTTCCAAAGCTTCTTCTATTAACTTTATTTTGTGGACGTAAATTGGTTTTAATTCAACCTGTAAAGTCTTCAAAGATTTTTCTTATGAAACATCCGGGTCTCCATGATTCTTTTGTTGCTCTGAATAGAATCTGAATAGCTAGTGCTACTCAAATTCTTCATTTCATATTGGATGCTTGTGGTAGGTGAGCTTTTGAGAAATTCAGTCTTTTTCTCTGAGTTGTCCAATTTCTGCACATAGAGCTTCTCATAATATTACCTAGTAATCCTTGTGGTGTCTGTTGGGTATCCCATTTCATCCCTGATATTGGAAATGTGTCAATTCTCATTTTTTTTCATTATCACAACAGATGGAAGTTTTTCAAATTTATCAGTCTTCTCAAAGAACCCACATTCATTTCAGTGATATTCTCTATTGTTTGTTGTTAATTTCTTTGCTTTTTCTCCTCTTTTTTTATTTCCTTCTCTTGCTTTGGGCTTATTTTGCTCCTCCTCATTTTTTTTTTTTTTGAAATGGGAAAAACATTATCAAGTCTAGACTTTTCTTTGTTCGAATACCACAGCTGGGCCTCCTTTGGGCTTGGGACATTGGGAGTGTGGACCCAGGATATCTGGTGTGGGTTCCTCTTCCAGAATGGAAGCAACTAGCCCAGTTGCCTTCCTCTTCCACTTTTCAGAGCCCTCCATGGGTGGACCTCACATGAGTTTCAGGGGGCAGGCTTGTACTGAGCCAAGAGAGGCGGGAGAGATGAGTCCGCACCATCTCCTGCCCTTTCCTGTGCTTGGTGAAGGTGGGAGGGGAATGGCATAAGGGGATGTGCATTTGGACGTGGAGAGTTTTCTCTTTTGTCTCCAGAGATTCTGCAGTTTGGGCATTGCTCTTTAAGGAATACGGAGAGCCAGTTTTCCATAGAATTTACTGTCCTTTTGTTGTTTTTCCTTTGGGTTGAGAGGCTGTATTTGGAGACGAGTAGTTAAGCCTCTGTCTTGTACTCAGCAGCCCATTACAAAGTGCCCAGAGGGCTTTGAAATGCTTGGCCCCAGTGACCTTATCCCACATCTCGGTATCCATCTCCCATATTTCCCTATCAGGGCCCTACTCCAGCACAGTAGGTGCAGTGTAGCTGAGAATTCAGCTTTCTGTAGCACTGATACTCTTATGTTTATGTTGGACCCAACTGTGTTCTCAGCTTTTTCTGCCCTCCAGCTCTAGGAGGTAAGAGTCTGCACTGTTGCACAGAAGTCCTCTGACATTCACACATAACCTTTCACATGTGATCAGTCTTCGCTTTGCACTGTCTTTCTCCAAAGGTTAATGCCCAGCAACAGCCACCCAATCCGTAGTTCTTAAATTATCACGTCATCAGAATGGCAGGATACTCCCCTCCTCTGCTTACAACAGCCCATGTCACCACGGTGAGGTTTCAGCAGTGACAAGGGCAGGGCAAGCCGACACCTACCCTGTTCTAAATCCCACAGGGCTGGGGGCCTCCTGACCAGCTGGCAGAAAGAGACCTTGGTACAAATGGGCCCATTAGAGTTGGCTTTCCAGACCCCAACCAGACAAACTCCACACATGAGGTGACCCAGGAGGGAGACTCTCAGATGATATGGGAAGAGAGAAAGCTCACTGTGGTTTGCTGCCCGATTCACCTGCATGAGAGAGCGAAGGAAGTTGGACTGGCAAAGGGAGATGTTGACACAATTCAGGACGGCAAGACTCAGCCTCAGACAGAGAGCAAGCAAGCTGCCTGCTCTTTGTGAGTTGTTTTAAATGGAGAGGAATGGTTTAGCCTCTATACCCCCACTTCCTCCAGCCTTCTGCTGCAGGATCCCCTCTAGAAACAGGTACAAACATGGCCAATTTCTTTGAACTCAGAAAAAGTCCAGCAGCCCCAAAACAGAGACCTGACATCCTCTAACATCCCAGGGCAAATATGCTGAGGACCTACTCCTTCCTTTAAGAGTACTCTATATTGGGGCGCCTGGGTGGCTCAGTGGGTTAAGCTGCTGCCTTCGGCTCGGGTCATGATCTCAGGTTCCTGGGATCGAGTCCCGCATCGGGCTCTCTGCTCGGCAGGGAGCCTGCTTCCCTCTCTCTCTCTCTGCCTGCCTCTCTGTCTAGTTGTGATCTCTCTCTGTCAAATAAATAAATAAATAAATCTTTAAAAAAAAAAAAAAAGAGTACTCTATATTTCAAAAAAAAATTGGATTTCTTAAATTCAAATATAAAAACAAAAATGAGTCATTGTATAAAGTCAAAAAATCGGAAGCTGTCCTTCCAGATCAACAGTCTATGTCCAAGAGACAGACGTCAGCTGACAGTGGCAATGGGGTTCAGGTGACCTGATGGTGTTTGAAACTCTTCTGAGCATTAGACCCCATTTCCTTGCTTCCCCAGTATTTGTCCAGCCAGCAGGTCTCCTGAGGTCAGGTCATCCTGAGGACTCCCTCCCTCACCTCTGTATAGGGGAGTCGTTAAACCATGTGCATGGAGCAAAGCAGGACAGCCTTGCCCCTCAATGACCATGATATCTGTTCTCACTCCTTGAGGCCAGGCAGACATTTGTCCCTATGGCCCAGAGAGTTTGACTTTGTCGTGGTCCAAAGACAAGGTCTCAGAGTCATCCTGCAGGCCAGCAGTGAGGGGTTTCCCTGGGTCTGAGCCACCTCATCTGTCCACCCTAGGAGCCTGTTGGCTCATCAGACAGAGGCTGTAGGACCTGCTCCACTGGGTGTGAGAACCAATTCAGTAAACCAAACTTACCCATTCCTGAGTGCTCGTTCTCCCCACCTCTTCACTCAAGAAGAACACCTGGCAGTGAGAAAGGGGTGAGTGAGGTGAGGAACGTCTTACCCCGAATTCTGCCTTGAGCAGGGGAAGAATTCATGAGTTTCAGAGCATTGATAAGCCTGAGTCACTTCAGATAGAGTAAGTGGAGGACCCAGGGAATGGACTCCAGGGCGCCCCCCTCTGATGGTGCCTCCTATCTCTTCTTTTCCAGAGTCAAAGACATCTACTCCATTCTTGATGGCTATCACCCTGGGCCCAAAGCTGTTGCTGCTCATCACTGTCTCTGCCATCTATGTCCACAGGAAGCGAGCACCCGATTGTAAGTTATGGGTCAGGGAGGGCAGGCACAGTTAGTCCCAGAAAGAGCCACGTCAGGAAGAGGGGAAGCCCACAGGTCACACAGGGTCAGCGCACACCTGCAGTAAAGCACATGTGACACACCTCCCTTGATACCCTCGGGAGTCTCAGGGGTCCAGGCTCCCCGAGGTGTTGGGGGAGGGGACATTTAGCCTATAAAATATGGGCAGGGTCAAAGGCTGTCAAAGAGTGTGGACAGAGTCCTAGGGATTCTGGGAAGGAAGTGGGCAGAGAGGCTGAACGACAGGCAGCTGGGTGGGAGGATCAATTGGAGAGCATCACTAGATAATGGAGAACTGGGGCTCCTTTGGCCACAAGACGTCTGCGTTTAGAAGAATGCTGACATGTACCAGAGGGTTGCTCTGAGGACTTTTTCTAATCTGATCCTCTGTGGGACATACTGGAGGGGATGGAGAGAGGGGATCAAGCCCTAAGGGAGGAAGGCTTAAGTGGCAGAGTCCTCTATCAGGGGCTGCCTGTCCTTTCACAACAGGTGTCCCAGGAGGAAAATAGCACCAAGGACATAAGAGATACGTTGGGAATATTTCTTGAATGTTGTGCCCATAAACAACTGTGAACATGGGTCCCACAGCTCCTCCCTTCCTCTCCTACTACATGTCACCCTCAGTTTCTGCTCCTTTAGTCCTTGAGGGGCACAGCCAAAGACAAGGAACAACTACAAGCTTCCCAACTCTGCCCCGGATACCTTGCTTCTTCCAGAGACTCACCTGCCCACAGTACCTTCTGCTCCTTCTCACAATCCTTGATGCCCCCAGAGCTGGGTCTTCATACCAGGTCCTCAGAAGGGCCATGGGAACTTGCTCTGGGCACTGATGCACAGATATCTGCCTGAATATGAGAAAAGAGTCCCACCTACACATACCAGGTGTCTCTCATTCATCATTTGGGGACTGTGGCCATGGACTGCATGCTCACATCCATGTTCTTGGGAGTTATTTCTGCCAACCCCCAGATATTCTAGGCTTTGTGAGGTTCTTCACTGGGTCTTAAATAAAATGAACCTCATCCTGGTTTGAAGAAGAGAAATGATTCTCCTTCCTCTTTGCCTACATGTCCTACTCCTCAGTCCCAGGGACAAGATGCCCTCCTCCCTGTGATGGGAACACTAGCTCTTCTGTCACCTTCTTTCTTCCCAGCCCCACTGCTCATGTACAGGAACTGGCAGTCCAGAAGTCTGGAGCCATCCTTGGTTTTCTTACTTTATATCCCCTATTCAATTCTGCCTTCAGAATGCTGTTTGCAGTGGCCAGATGGTAAATGTGAAGCAGTCTACTCAGGGAAAGGAAAAGAATCCTGATTTGTAGTACTTGTGGACTTCCGTGGTGTCAACACTCCCAATGTGACCAATGGCAAGCTAACAGTGTTTATCAACTGGCTTATAAAATTCCTGAGAAGCTCTCAGGTGTGAGTGCAAGCCTCCTCCCAAAACCAGTGAGCTCCACCCAGAATCTGTACACTGCTTACCCCAAGCCTGCTCCCTGGTCCTGGCCAGCAGCACTCCTTCCTGGACCATTCTTTGCCTCTTACAGCTCTCCAGCTTCAGCTACAGTGATTCCATGGCAATGGGGTCAAACTGTGTCTTTCCTCTGCTTCTTCCCCCTAAAGATCTGCATGACACTCTCTCCTTCTTTGAAGCTCTGTTTAAATGTCACCTTATTAAAAAGTACCTTCCATAAACCACCCTATATAAAATATCAATTCCTTTCTCTCACTCTGTGTTCTCACAGCTCATAACTTAATTAAACTACAGAGGGAACACCTGAGAAATACAGTCCAGCCATGTGATCACGAGTTCACCAATAGTCATAAACCACCGCCACAGTATGCTCCCTGATATAATGTAATGAAAACAACACTTTTCCTCTGTGACCTTCCTCCCCAAACCACTGCCCCAGTCTGTTTATGAATAAAGCATCCGACAAATTGCAATGAGGGACATTCCACCATATACCAGTCCAAGAAGCTCTCACAGCTGAGAGGAGCCTAGAGAGACATGACGAGAAAATGTAATGTGGCATCCTGCATGGAATTCTGGGACAGAAAGGGACATAGAGTGAAAACTAAGGAAATCTCTTCTGGACTGAATACTTGTACCTCTCCAACGCTCATGGGATTTGGAGGTGGGGACTTTGCAGATAATAAGGTCATGAGGGTGGAATCCTCATGAATGGGATTATTGCCTTCATGAAAAGGGGCCAGACAGCCACCTCACTCCATCCACCAGGTGAAAATACAAGTAGTTGGCAGTCTGCAACTTCAAAGAGAGATCTCATCACAACCCAACTATCATGGCACCCTGATCTCAGACTTCCAGCCTCCAGGACTATGGGAAATAAGTTCCTGTTGTTTCAAGGCATCCAGCTCACGCTGTTTTGTTATAATGGTTGAAGCTAAGACAAGATCAAACTATGGATTTTGGTTAATAACAATGCCCCAATATTGGTTCACTAATTATAACAGATGCAACAAATTATTGTAAAATGCTATAAGGAGGGGAAACTGTATGCACCTATATATTGGAACTCTGTGTCATTGTCTCAGTTTTTCTCCAAATGTAAAACTGTTCCAAAAATGTAACCTTATTCTAAAAAAAAATCAACATCTTGTCCTCAGATGGATCTCTGTCTCTTGTACCCCCTTGGAGGGCCATTCGAGGAAATGTGTGGTGGGGAGATGTCTGCGTTTCTATACCCAGATTTTATGTTACTTCATAGGTCTAAGGTTCCTCTTCCTTTCTCTGTCCTCTGTCCTTGCTACAGCTCACTCCAATGCCTGGCACTCAGAGATCCCAGAACAACCTGCTTCTCAGTCCCCCATGATATTCACTCTTTATATTTCCAATTAGTGAAACCCAGGTTAGATCAGGTGGAGTCAGGGAACTCTGGGTGCTTGAGGTAGGGTAGCTTTAAGACCTCAGTGGTGGATGAAGTTAATCCATGTCCTGTGCCCAAGCAATTGAGGTGGATAGGGCTCTGCAGATGGTGGTGCGTCCTGTGATACACCAGGACTGAGGAAATGGCCCTCAGCTGTCAGCCCTCTTTGAGATAGCCTCAGGTGAGGAAATCCCCCATGCCCAAGGTCAAGCCTGGGACCTTGCCAACTCAAGTGTCTCATCAACATGGGGATGGAGCCCCTTCTATCCTCGAAGACAAAAATCATCACCATCTCCAAAACTCTAACCTCTTTCCACACCATGTCTTTGAGCCTCTACGTCAGCAGGAGTGCAGCCTGGTGAGACTGGGATGGGATGAGGATCAGGAATGAGCACAAGCTTGTGGATTCCATAAGCTCTGGGAATCCCAAGAAACTGGCCCAGTAGTATCTCAGCTTGTGGCCCCCTTGTGTGTCCATTTGGTAATCTGAAAGAAAAAGTGTTAAAAGTCCCATGGTCATTCCTTCATCATAATCCCTTTCCTCTGACATCATGGAGGCGGGGAGTGTCTTCTTTCCTCAGAGCATAAAGTCCTGGGCCTCTCCAGGACAGCGTTCAGACAGAGAAGGCTCCAGGGGCCACCACAATGACTGTCTTTGCCTCCCCACTGTGCCCACCTCTGTCACCCCTACTTCTTCTCCTTTTCTAAAATTTAATTTCTTTCCAGTATAACAGAATTCATTGTTTATGCACCACAACCAGTGCTCCACACAATACGTGCCCTCCATAATACCCACCACCAAGCTCACCCAACTTCCCACCCTCCTCCCCTTCAACACCCTCAGATTGTTTTCAGAGTCCATAGTCTCTCGTTCATCTCCCCCTCCAATTTCCTTCAACTCCCTTCTCCTCTCCATCTCCCCATATCCTCTGTGTTATTTCTTATGCTCCACAAATAAGTGAAACCATATGATAATTGACTCTCTCTGCTTGACTTATTTCACTCAGCATAATCTCTTCCAGTCTCATCTGTGTTGATACAAAAGTTGGGTATTCATCCTTTCTGATGGAGGCATAATACTCCATAGTGTATATGGACCACATCTTCCATATTCATTCATCTGTTGAAGGGCATCTTGGTTCTTTCCACAGTTTGGCGACTGTGGCCATTGCTGCTATGAACATTGGGATACAGATGGCCCTTCTTTTCACTACCTCTGTATCTTTGGGGTAAATACCCAGTAGTGCAATTTCAGCATCACAGGGAATCTCTATTTTTAATTTCTTCAGGAATTTCCACACTGTTCTCCAAATTGGCTGCACCAACTTGCATTCCCACCAACAGGGTAAGAGGGTTCCCCATTCTCCACATCCTCTCCAACACAGGTTGTTTCCTGTCTTGCCAATTTTGGCCATTCTAACTGATGTAAGGTGGTATCTCAATGTAGTTTTTTTTTTTCATTTGACAAAATTCTACACCCATTTTTTTTTTAGATTCTTTTTTTAAATTTTTTAAATTTATTTTCAGCGTAACAGTATTCATTGTTTTTGTACCACACCCAGTGCTCCATGCAATCTGTGCCCTCTCCAATACCCACCACCTGGTTCCCCCAACCTCCCAACCCCGGCCCTTCAAAACCCTCAGATTGTTTTTCAGAGTCCATAGTCTCTCATTGTTCACCTCCCCTTCCAATGTCCCCCAACTCCCTTCTCCTAACTCCCCTTGTCCTCCATGCTATTTGTTATGCTCCACAAATAAGTGAAACCATATGATAATTGGCTCTCTCTGCTTGACTTATTTCACTTAGCATAATCTCTTCCAGTCCCATCCATGTTGATACAAAAGTTGGGTA